GAAGGCTGTGGTCCTTGATCTTCATCAGTAAGTATTCCAAGTCTTATCACTTTCAGCAAGGAAGATTTTATCTTCTGCATATCACAGATTGTTAATGGGTCTTCCTCCAACCCTGATGCCACGTTTTTCTCCATATAATCCAGCTTCTCAGATTATTTTCTCAGCATACAAATTGAATCAGTATGGTGAAATAATACAACCCTGGCACACACCTTTCCTAATTTTAAACCATTCAGTGTTCCTTTGTTACATTCGAACAACTGCCTCTTGGTCTATGTACAGGTTCCTCATGAGAGGAGCACAATTAAGTGTTCTGGAATACTCATTCTCCACAATGTTGTTCATAATTTATCATGACCCACACAATCGAAAGCCTTTGTGTAGTCAATAAAGCACAGGTAAACATCTTTCCAGTATTCTCTGCTTTTAGCCCAGATCCATCTGACATCAGCAATGATAGCCCTTTTTCCACATCCTTGCAGTTCCCTGCCAATGTACTGTTGCAGTAGTTTTTAAATTATCTTTAGCAAAATTTTTATTTTAATGCAATATTAATCATATTGTTTGATGATCTCCACATTCTATTGGGTCACCTCTCCTTGGAATAGGCAAAAAATATGGGTCTCTTTCAATCATTTAGCCAGGTACCTTTCAAATTTCTTGACATAGATGAGTACCTCCAATCCTGCATCAGTTTGTTAAAAGATTTCAATTTGGACTCCATCAATTCCTAGAGCCTTGTCTTTGTCAATGTCTTTAGTATACCTTGGACTTCTTCCTTCAGTATCATTGGCTTTTGATCATATGTTTCCTCTTGAAAAGGCTGAACATTGACCTTTTTGTTTTAGCACAGGGACTGTGTAGTCCTTCTATCTTCTCTTGATGCTTTATGCACCATTCAATATTTTGCCCATAGAATCCTTCAATATCATAAGTCGAGGCTTGAAATCTTTCTTCATTTCCCTCAGCTTCAGAAATGCTTAGCGTGTTCTTCCCTTTTCATTTTCTAAGTCCAGGTCTTTGCACATTTCATTATGATATTTGATTTTATCTTCTTGAGTTGCCCTTTGAAATTTTCTACTCAACTCTTTCCTTACTCATTTCTTCCATTTGCTTTAGCATCTCCATGCTGAAAAGCAAGTTTCCAAGTCTCTTCTGACTTCCATTTTGGTCTTTTTCTTCTTTCTTTACTTCTTAATGACCTTTTGTTTTCTTCCTATATGATGTTCTTGATGTCATCCCACAGCTTTTCCGGTCTTCAGTCATTAGTGTTAATTCATCAAATCTGTTCTTGAAATGATCTCTAAATACAGGGTCACTATGAGTCAGAACTGACTCAACAGCACTTAATAATGACAAATCTTTATGATCCAGTTATTGCTGTTAAGTGCTGTTGAGCTGGTTCCAATTCATGGTGACCCTGCATAGGATTTCTGGGGAGTGGCTGGTAGGTTTGAACTGCAGATCCTGTGATATACAGTCCAGAGTTTATCTTATAGCACCACATCAGGAGTCAATATATGATACAGCATCTGCACTAAATTAGAAACCTCTATATTGGGCTGAAAACTCCAAGGTTAGTGGTTTGAACCTATCAACTGTTCCACAGGAGAAAGATGAGGCTGCCTACTCCCATAAAGATGTATAGTCTCAGAGACCCTGTATAGCACTGCTATGAGTTGGAATGAATGCAAAGGGTACAGATTTGGGGAAGCTTTGATTGTGCAGTGGGCAAAAGACTCAGTCACACCATGGATTAAAGGTTTGGCAGTCTGCCTCAGTAAAGGTTTCAGCCTCGGAAACCACATGAGGCCGCTCTATTCTGTCTTATTAATAAGGTCAACTCAATGGTAATGGTGTAATTGGGAGGGGGGAATGTAATCTAATCCATAACAAGTAGTAATATGGGAGACAAAGAGCCTACACACAACAGAGTGGGTCTCAAATCTACTTTAGAGAACAGTCCAAAGAGACTTCACAGAGGTGGTGGTAGTTGTGTTGTTAAGTGCCTTCAAACGCTGTCGAGTCAGTTCCGACTCATAGCGACACTGTATAGGGTTTCTGAGGAGTGGCTGTTGAGTTTGAACAATCAACCTTGTAGTTCATACCAATCTTGCAGTCCAATGCTTATTCTACAACACCACACCAGGACTCCAGAGGTGGTGGAAGTGACATTTAAAGTAACTTTTTTTCCCAAAATGAAAACAACTTTATTTTTGGCCTAATCATAAATATAGTATATGCTCACTTTTAAAAAACTAAAACAATAGTAAAACTGAAGAAAAAATTTAAAAAGTAATCTATCTCCTACCACCCAGGCCATAATCATTATTAACATTTTATTGAAGAATATAAGTAAAAAAAGTGCTAGGATTGGGTTAGCAATCCAGACACTGGGCTGCAAACTGCAAAGTTGGCGGTTCAAACTTGCCAGCTTCTACTGTAAAGATTTACTATGTCGGCAACCCTGTGTAGGGTACCTATGAGTTGGAATCTACTCAATGGCAGTGGGTTTTGAGTTTAGCAATACTTTCAGTGTAAGTGCAGGGAGCCATGTGCTTGAGTATGTATAAAGTATACTTTAAATATTATAATGATAGAAAATGTATGCTGTACTGTTCTCTATATATAATTTTATATACATTATACCATAATTTGTTTTTATGTACATTTTAGAAAATTGAAGTTTTTTTTTTCATTTCTGAGGTTGCGTTTTTCCATTTTCTTCACCAACCTTACCAAAGGCTCAGCTATTTTATTCATATTAAAAAAACAAACAAACATATATTTGGAAATTTAAAACATTTAAATAACTTGTAGGTCAAAGATGATGTCATATTAGAAAACACTTGAAACTAAAATAATAATAAAAAATACAAGCTAGGAGCTAAAACCAATGAACAAAAAGCTCATTGTTGTCCAGTCATTTCCAATTCATAAGAGACTTTATAGAACAGAGTAGAACTGCCCCAAATGGTTTTCAAGGCTGTAAATCTAACAGACGCAGACTGGCACATTTTTCTCCCATGGAGTAGCTGGTGGGTTTGAACCACTGACCATCCAGTTAGCAGCTGAGCACTTTAATCACTGTGCCTTCAGGACACCAATGCAGCTTCAGAAGTGAATAAAGGGATGGTGGTGATGGTGACCGTGTGCTTTGGAATCAGTTCTGATGTGTGGTAGCCTTGTATAGAGTTTCCAAAATTGTACCTTTTAGTGGGAGCAGAAAGCCTCATCTTTCTCCCTTGGAGCTGCTGGTAGATTCAAACTGCTAACCTGCAGTTAGCAGTTCAACTCATAACCCACTATGCTACTGGAGTTCCTTGAATGAAGGGATAGTATAGCTCCAAATTCTACCAGTGGTCTATCAGTTTGTCATATTGTGGTGCTTTGCATGTTGCTATGATGCTGGAAGCTATACCACCAGTATTTTAAATACCAGCGGGTTTACCCTAGGTGGACAGGTTTTAGATGAACTTCCAGACTAAGACAGACTAGGAAGAAGGAGAGATAGACTACTTCTGAATGGTTGTTGTTGTTCTTGTTAAGTGCCTTCGAGTCGGTTCCTACCCATAGCGACCCTGTAAAGGGTTTCCGAGGCTGTAAATCTTTACAGGAACAGAAAGACTCATCTTTTTCTAGCAGTGGAATATTGTCAGATACAGTGACAGAAGATGAAAATATTGTTAATAGCACCAATATATTGTCAGATATAGTGCCAGAATATGAGCCCCTCAAGATGGACGGCACTCAAAAGGTAACTGGGGAAGAGTTGCCCCCTCAGAGTTGACCACAATGACACAAATGGAGCAAAGCTTTCAGGACATTCATTTGCTGAATGAAGCGACCCTGTATAGCTGGTGGGTTTGAACCGCAGACCTTTTGGTTCAAATCAACATTGTAGTACAGTGCATTATCCTGCAGCGCCACATCAGGATTCCATAAAAGCACTGTTGTTGTTAAGTGCCATTGAGCCGGTTCCAACTCATAGCCACCCTGTATGGGGTTTCCAAGGAGCCACCGGTGGGTTTGAACTGCCTGCCTTGTGATTTACAGTCCAGTGCTGATCCTACAATGCCACACCAGCATCAGCAAACATTAATAACCTTAAACAAAATGAACAATTTTCTAAAAATGTACAACTTATTAAATGTGAAACAAGAAAAAAAATAAGTTATTGAAAAGACCTATATATAAAGTACCTGACATCGAAAGTAGTCTCAAGTCCAACAGTAAAACAGCTGTTGTCCCTTCTAGTTAGTTGCCTAAGATTACTTTCCCTTTTTAGACTGGGAATGCCACAGTATCCTCTTATACTTCATTCGGGTTGGACAGGTTCCAAATATCCCCAGCCCGCTAAGGGGGCTGAACCAGGGACACAACATGACTCACAGGCTGCATAAATTGAAATGGCTCAGAACAACAGATCAAGCCTTCAGATCAGCACAGAACCTTAAAAATGTCTGAAAGAATGGAATGTTGCCTCTCCTTCACAACAGGAAGTTAGGGCAACCATAAGACTGGTTTTGTAGTTGAAACTATAAATAAAAGTAGCTGGTATAACGAAGCAGCTCCAAAAGAGTATAAACTTTGAACCCTTCTACAAAACTTGAGACCCACGTAAGTCAGAGCGTTGACAACGACTGATTAACAAAAAGCAGATAAAGGACCTGGGATGGATTCAGACCACAAGTGTTTGTGGTACATACAAGGTTATGAAATTATAACAGTGCCCCGGGTTCAGGGTGTTCACAAAACTAATTTTATTTGGAAAATAAACCAGTTGCCTTTCAGATCCCGGCCTGCATCCGCCTTGCAGTGGAGCTCGATGCTCAACCCATACCGAGTTTCTGATCCCGGGCTCTCCCTCCGAGGGCTGGCAGCCACAGTTCCGCCTTCCTCCTGGCAGAACCCGGGCGCCGCCCTCGTCCTGGCAGCGTCCCCAGCCAGAGTCTCAGCACCCCTCCCTACCCACGGGCCCGCACCCCGCCAGGACCCACCTCCTCGGCGTCCTGGCCCAGGGGGATGCCCAGGCTCTTGAGGCCTTCCTGCAGCTCGCCGATGTCCACCACCCCGTCCCCATTGCGGTCCAGCTGCTGGAAAAGGTTCTCGTAGCGCGTGAGCGGCTTCGCGTCCTGGCAGGCCGCCACCGGCAGCACGAAGCCCCGCAGCCAGCGAAGCATGGTCGGGAGGCGCTGGACGGCCCAGAGGGAAACTGGCAGGTCAAGCGCGTCGCCGCCCTGGCAGTCAGCGCGAGGGCCGTGGGCGGCCTGGTCACTGTGAGGACTCGAGCGGAGACTCTGGTCTGGCTGGGAGAAGCCGCAGAGGAACCGCGTTCGGGGTGTCGTCTCGGGCGATAGAGACCCCACCCGAGCCCAACAGGGCGCGCAGGGCGTGGCTGCTCTGGGAGGAGCTCACCCCGCTCTGGCCTCCGCTAGAGGGACAGAGGGTCGGGCTTGGCACTGCCTACCGCGGGCTGGAAGTGAAAGAACAGCGGAATGGGGAGCGGTTCCATGAAGAATTTAAGCGGGTGTGAGGACCTCGGACTACAGTTGTCAAGGATGCGGGTGCCAAGAGGAAACCCCCTGAAAGCTGTGAGTTTCAGAGTACTACAGCAGCTTCAAAGAGGCACAAAATGTGGGGCTTTTTACAAAAGTTTGGTGTCAATCTGAGCACTAGGGTTGTGAAAGCTCAAAACTCAGGTACAGCTCTTGAGATGTATTCACACCCAAAGTTTTGTCTGCCACAGTGCCGGTAGGAAAGGTTGGAGACAGAATTTGCCTGAAGACTCTTGGGTGGTGTTGGAGAGTTCTTCTGACCAGGAAGTTGCCTGAAGACTCTTGGGTGGTTTTGGAGAGTCACCCTTCTGACCAGGAGTCTTGGTGAATTTCCCCCGAGAGATAGTCTCCGCTTAGAAACTGGCCCACTTCGGACTTGTCTCACAGGAATGGATCTCTGACTTTTTTTGTGTGTGACTCCACAAGACTTCTCTAAGCCCGTTTTCCGCTCACAAAACTGAGGAAGTTGAGTGGTTTTAGATTCTGTGGTTGTACACCTTGGATGGTAATTCTGTTGTATAACACTGAGGGCAGGGCGTGGCCTGTATACCTGAAAACATCCATTACAGAAATTAAAGGGACCTTTTCAGAAAACATCATCATTTATCCCATGGTGGGGGCAGTAGTAAACAAACGGACTGCCTTGGTTAAAAACTTACTTGGTATGATCTGCTTGTGGCAAATCCTAAGAAGTATCTACCAGTAGCACCTCTTAGGAAATTTTAGGCTCCTCCCTCTTAACATGGGTCTAGTTCCAAGGCTTGGGGTTTATTATCCAGGCAGGATAGAACTTCGATCAGCACAACTTTGCATAGTAAATGGAACATTGGACTAATCTTTATTCTGTGGTTCAACTGTATAGACTTGAAGACGTGACTCTGAGTCCAGGAATATAAATTATCTGACTCACCACAATGTCTGCCTCACTTTGTATGTGAAAGGTCTTAATACTCTTAACCTGCCAATGAGATATCACTAATTGTTCTAGTCTCTGTTCAACCACAGCTGCTTACAAGAAAGTATCCTTGTGTTCTTATATTCAGAATAAGACACCTTTATACAACTGTACATCTTCTGAATCACCAAAGACCAGTTGTTCCAACAGAAGCCGCAGGAACAAACTCAGGATCTGAAATTGCCTCACGTCATCTTATATGTATAAGAAATTTGTGAATCTGGAGTTTGTAAGTTGAGTACTGCCTGTTTAGTAAAGTCATTTTGAAAACAATTTACCCATTTTAATACTTCAAACTTCCAGTTTTGTTAAGAATTCTCTTTCCTTTGGAATGGCCTTCATACGTTATCAAAATTTTTATTTGTTCTTAGAAACCTCTGGTAGGGCTGCGAACCTTAAGGTCAGCAGTTCGAAACTACCAGCCGCTCCGCGGGAGAAAGATGAGGCTTTCTACTCCTGTAAAGATTTACACCCTTGGAAACCCTGTACAGGGTCGCTATGGGTCGGAACTGACTCGACGGCACTTAACAACAACAACAACAACATGAATACTCTGTAAGATAAGCACTGGATAGCAAGGTCTGTTAGAACTGCAAGGCAGGAGGTTCAAACTCACCAACTGCTCCTTAGAAACCCTATACAGGGTTGCTGAGTTGGAACCGACTCAATGTCTCTTACCAACAACAGCAACATGAATATTCTGTATTTGAAATTGTACTGGACCACAGGTTTGAATTTTCCTCTTTATTTGTAGTAATAACAAGAATTATCTATCAACTTTTTTACTTAGAAAATATACGCTCACACAAAAACCTGCATGCAAATTTATATAGTTTTATTCATAATTACCAAACACCAGAAACCACCAAAATGTTCTTTAATGGGTGAATATATAAACTACGTGATATATATACAGTGTAATATTAACCAGACTTAAAAAGGAATAAACTACTAATACTTACAACAATGAATGATGCTATGTGAAAGGAACCTGACTCAGTATGGTTCCATTTATGTGACCTTCTGGAAAAGGCAGAAATGCAGGAACATCTAAAAGAGCAGGATTGCCCTGGATCAGGGCCTGGGGAAGGGATAACCACAAAGTTTGGGGGGCTATGGAACTGTTCTGTGTTCTCATTATGGTGGTGCTTACACAACGGTGTTAGTCAAAAGGCATAGAGGTGTAAACTAGAAAGGTTCATTTTATTCTATATTACATCCCAATAATGTCACTTCTAAATCTGGATTACAAATGAGTAAAATGGAATATAATTTTTAATGTAAAAGGTCCATATGAAGGTCAAACAAAATAGTGTGTGAAAGTCCTTCACTCTAAGCCTTGCTACCAAAAGTGTGGTCCACAGACAAGCAGCACTATTATCACTTGTGAGCTTGTTAAAAATGCAGAATCTCAGACTCACTCAAGACTTACTGTGGTGTAGTAAAATATTTAATGTCTCTTCTAACCACAGTCTTTGTAAACTCCCACCTTATGCATCTGGGTAAGAGGAGATGGGGGAGGATGCTGATGGATTAAGGATTCAGTTAGGAATGACTGTTAACAGGATTAATTGTGAAAACTTAAAACTCCAACATGGGTACAAAATGAACTATCTCAGAAGTAGGAATGTGGAATCTCACTACCATCGGAGAAGAAGAGCCAGGAGTGGAGTACATCCTTTGGACCCCGAGATCCCTGTGCCTTGAACATCTTTGACCCAAGGACACAAAGCTATGGCACCAGAGGAACAGCAGCAGCAGCAGAAAGCAGAACCAGAGCACGAGAGAACATGGTATAATTCCCAGCCCACCTAGCAGGTAAAGCTGAGTGATTTTAAGCAGGAGAGTTGCTTATAGAGTGGGGTGCCATGGGCGCTTGATTGGCAGAGGGGTTGGTGGGGACTAGGATAGCTGACTCACATTCAGGCTGAGGGTTATGACTGACTATGTCCTGTAGGCATTTATCAGCAGCCTTAAAAGAGTTTTGCAACATTTCCAGGACAGAGAGAGGCCTGCCTATGGAGACAGCAGAGGAGTGGCTATCCTGACTGGTAGAATTGTACCCCTGAGCATTTTCTGATCCTGTTAACTGCCCTAATAAGCCTCATAACTATGAATATGTTGCTGAGTTCTGTGTGACCATTGCAATAAATTATCAAACCCAGTTGAGTGGAGAGTACTGTGGTGAGGGGCAGTTAGTGACATTTTTTGCACATACTATATAAGAGATCTATATTTGTGCCCATTCCAAAGACGTGACCCAACGGAATGCTGAAATCATCGGACATCTCTTTGATATCCCATGCAAGTAAAGTTTTGCTAAAGGTAATACAGAAACGGCTGCAATCATACATTGACAGAGAACTTCCAGAGGTTCAAGCTGGATTCAGAACAGGCCGTGGACCAAGGGATATCATTGCTGATGTCTGAAGGATCTTGGCTGAAAGCAGAGAATATCAGAAAGATGTTTACCTGTGCTTTATTGACTACGCAAAGGCTTTTGATTGTGTGGATCATGACAAGCTATGGACAACATTCATTGCGAAGTATGAGTATTCTGGAACACTTAATTGTGCTCATGAGGAATCTGTACCTGGACTAAGAAGCAGTTGTCTGAACAGAGCATGGGAACACTGAATGTTTTAACATTTAAAAAGGTGTGCGACAAGGTTGTATTCTTTCGCCATACTTATTCAACCTGTATGCTGAGCAAATAATCTGATAAACTGGGTTATATGAAGAAAAATGTGGTATCAGGATTGGAGGAAGACTCATTAAGAACTTGCAATCTGCAGCTGATACAACTTTGCTTGCTGAAAGTGAAGAGGACTTAAAACATTTTACTGATGAAAATCAAAGAGCACAGCCTTCAGTATGAATTACATCTCAATATAAAGAAAACAAAAATCCTCACTGGACCAAAAAACAACATTCTTATCAATGGATAAAAGATTGAAGTTATCAAGGACTTCATTATTCTTGGATCAACTATCAATACTCATGGAAGCAGCAGTCAAGAAATCAAATGACATATTGCATTAGGCAAATCTGCTGCACAAAACCTTTTTAAAGTGTTGAAGAGCAAGGAGGTCAGCTTGAGGACTAAGGTGAGCCTGACCCAAGCCATGGTATTTTCAATAACCTCATATGCATGCGAAAGCTGGACAGTGAATAAGGAAGACCACAGAAGAATTGATGCCTTTGAGTTATGGTGTTGGAGGAGAATATTGAAAGTGCCATGGGCTGCCAAAAGAACCAATAGATCCATTTTGTAAGAAGTGCAGCCAGAGTGCTCCCTGGAGGCCAAGATGGCCAAACTTCGTCTCTCATACTTTGGACATGTTGTCAGGAGGGACCAGTCGCTGGAGAAGGATATCATGTTTGGTAAGGTGGAGGATTAGAGAAAAAGAGGAAGACCCCCAATGAGATAGATTGGCCAAGTGGCAGCATCAATGGACTCAAGCGTGGCAACAGTAATGAGGTTGGCTCAGGATCTGAGAAGTGTTTCGTTCTGCTGTGCATAAGATCACTATGTGTCAGTATCGACTCAATGGCACCTAACAACAACAATATAAGAACATAAGGAGCTCTGGTAGTGTAGTGGTTACGAATCGGTCTGCTAACCTCAAGGTCAGCAGTTCGAAACGACCAGACAGTCCTCAGGAGAAAGATGAGGTGTTCTGCTCCTGTAAAGATTTACAGCCTCGGAAACCCTGTACAGGGTTTATACACCATGTAAGAAC